TGGGATGCCAGTGGGGAAAAAAACCTGTAAAAAGGCTGAACCATATCAAATCACCAATGTACACAAATGTATTTTCATGTTTCATATGTTCCTTAGAAAACAACAAATAAGAAGCAGTAATTCTCTGCAAAAAATTTCTGTTACACTGACATGAATTTTGTTAGCCCTCATCAAGAATTAGCAAAAAGGGTAAATTCTTCCACGCTTTAGTACATTTGTATACAGCATATCCATTGGAATACAAACCTTCATCCCTGAGACACCAAAAATAAACATTTTTTCAAGTTCACGTGGTCCTCTCTGTTTCACAACTGGGAAACAACCACACCAACTTCAGAATTTCATATGCACCAAGAAAACGCAGTTAACTGACCCAGGGGGGTGAGGGGGTGTGTTGGGCAAGTCTCTGCAAGTTGTTACTATGAAGGCCAAGGTGAATCTTGAACTGCAGAGAAGCACGGCTGAATCCATTCTGCGCTCACTCAACGCTCCCTACAACTATAAACTCCTTTGCTCTCTCCAACCATCACAGGGTTTATACTGCCTTTCCAAGGGCATTCCAGGAAGCCCCAAAGTTACGGCACACACAGACAAAAAAATCTGGCGGAGTAAATTCCCATGATGCCAGGGTACTGGGTAGTTTCCAAAGGCAGAGTGTTCCAGAAAAATGCAAATAGGTCAGGCTCTCGCAAGAATTCTAGGCAAATACAAACAACTGCTGTCTTAGAAAGTCATACAGAATTGCAGTTGAGGAGCTTGGATGAAGGTTAGAGCACAAAGACAGGAAAACTGTTTCCGGTCTATTAGGGATTCTAACGAACCATTGAGTATTCTTCCCCCTCATCCCCATTTCAAACATCCACTTCAAAGATTCCCTGTGCAGTGCAGGATATGGAGCGATAAAGGTGTCCACTGTCAATGTGATAGACTTTCAGTAATTTTGGGGGGAGGGATATTTCAACGAACTTTAACCTTTCTTAAAGTTTACATGAGAATTAAAAATGTCTTCCTTCCAGTATTCAAAATATTCGCCACTTCAAAAAAAAAAGCTGTGTATCATTGTGTCATTCAAAAATAGAGGGCACCCCTTCCACCACATCTTCCCAAGGATTTGCCAGAAAAACACAGGTAAAATAAAAATAAAGTTCTTATGACTCACAATCAAGGTACTCATATCTGACATCTATTCTGGAATTTCTGAAAAAATATCTTATCATAAGACATGTTCACAGCAGTCCCACATAACTTTCAGCCTTTAGCAATAAGATACATGGCTACACAACCCTCTTACTCATTTTTAATTTTCTTTCCTCATAGTCTCTTCAAATACATATATTGAAATTTTCACCTGACTGTAAAAAAGGTTTTCTTTAAGGTAATTTTAGTAACAAACTAGAAGTTGGCCTCACTGGGATTCTTTAAGTCAAATGTGACTGTGCAGCAAGAAAGCAGCCATCTTCCTGCCATGGGATCTCCGTGGCTAAATTACTCACCTATAGATTAAAAAACCCAAATTACAGAATAGATGTGAATTTCAAAATACAGAAAATGCACTGTCAGTTCATAAATCAAATTAAAGAAACTTCATCCTGGGCCAGTCCCGTGGCTCAGCGGTTAGGTGCGCGCTCCGCTACCGGCGGCCCGGATTCGGATCCGGGCGCACACCCACGCACGGCTTCTCCGGCCATGCTGAGGCCGCGTCCCACATACAGCAACTAGAAGGATGTGCAGCTATGAAAAAAAAATAACTACGGGGGCTTGGGGGCGGGGGGGGGGGACTTCATCCTAAAATGTGACATATCTCAAAATAAAACAATTTAAAATTTTCTTTAATGAGTGTTGTCTTATTGTTGAAGCATTCTTTTAACCCAAGTGTTCCAAATTATAATACCAAAACAAAAAAAAACAAGAGTCAACTCAAAACTGCCATTAAAAAAAAAAAACAAAAAACAAAAAACAGAGCCAGAGCTCACAATACTAATTCCCAAGCTTTAGAAAGCTTTCTCTGTCAATAAAATAGGTCATGGAAACGAAGTTTCACTATTTACAAACACTGTACATGGTTTAAAAGATCCCGGGTTTTCCAAAAGTCTTAGCTTCTGCTTTGTGTGTAACCTTATGACAGTTCTAGCCAATATTAAAATAAGTGCAAAACAGATTTAACGTACTATCCTTACGAAGAAAAAATGCATATCATGCAAATATAACCAGTGTTTAAGGAACTAGAAGTTTTTGAACTCTTTAACAGCTTTCCAACTATTTTGTCCTATGCAAATGACTTTCAAACTCTCAAGCAGGCCCCAGGAAGTAAGGCACAAGAAACTACATTTTATTAAAGATTCAGTCTAATTCTCAGTAGTAGTCAATCACAGGAAATATTTCATTCCAAAGCAGCCTCTCCTCAGTCCTAAAACAGTTAAGTTTTGGTTGATTTGCATTTTAGAACCGGATTTTTTAAAGCTAAAAGTCATAGTAAAGTTTCTCCTTTTATGAATCTTTAAAACAGGAGAGTCTTTCAGATCTGAGAGTGAAACTGGGTTTTAACAAGTAACTCATTTTTATGAAAACGCTAACCAGAAGGCTAGTTATGAGTTAGAACACTTCAGGCTGTTTCTTTTCTTCTTAAAATACCCTTTTACTCAAAGTGAAAACGCACTTGCTGGAATGTGACTTGCACCAACTGACTCTGAATACACCTGAAACATTTCCTCACTGGAGAATGGCAGCCTGCTCCCCCTCCAGCCCCAAAAACTCCACTAGGTTTCCACTGGGAGCTGCCATTGGGCCTCGGATTCTGGACAGACAAGCCTTACTAACACTTAATAGATCTTCTAGCTCCGGTAAGTAAATTTTTTTAAAAAAATAAAATTATAATTGCATTTGGAGGAAAAAATTAGAACAAGTAAGAATGTAATAACAACGGTTGGGTGGATGATTTGGCCTTAAAATCTATTTGTTTAAAAAGCATTAAATCTTTAAAATTTAAGTTATATTCCTACTTTAAGAAGAATACCCTGACTTAAGGCCACTTGAGAGAGAAAACTAAAAATAATCCCCAAACTTTGCCTTTCTCTATCTTTAAAGAAAGGCACTCCAGCAAGCTGAAGTAGGTTGTATCCATTTCCAAGGACGTAAAAGAATGGTGTAAGTACACACTGTACTTTGAATGCCAAAAAAAAAAAAGAATTTTTTCTTTTAACAGCAAATGCTTTATTAACAGTTCAAGTAAGACTGACAGATGAGCAAGTAAGGCAAGCACTTCAATTCAAATGTTAAGTCAAATCGGATCTGGCGGACAATCCTAATTTTGTGACTTAAAAGACTACACTTCGCTTAAAGTAAGGAGACACTTTACCTGCTGTAACACTTGGAAAATTGCATGTAATGCCTAGTAATGAGTCTGGAAGTGATGCCTTTAGTCTAAAACACACTTTGAAAAAAATAAAATCCCAGCTCCTTCTCCAGGAACTTCAATATAACATGAGTAACTTAACCTTTTGGACACACATTAACCACAGGAATGACAGTGTATGTAAAACAACTTTAGTGTAACAACTGCGCAGCCAAGATCAGTCTTTATTACGCTCTATAGTCAGGATGAAGGGTGAGGGAGGAGTCTGGCTCAACTAGGGAACCTTCACATACATCCCTCCACCTGTGACAGTAAGAAGCTGTCAGCTTCAGGAAGCCGCACCGCAAATGGACCCCCAAGAAGCCTCCCCAGAGCCCGTGCTCCTGGGGCCCCGGGGCCTTCTCTACCTCGGGGTAAAGATGTGCCTGTCCTCACGGTGAGTCTCTCCTGGTCTCTCTCTGAAACACGAAGAGCCAGAGGCGCCTCATCTAGAGGCCCCCACCGAGGCAGGAGGTCCCTGCCGGTCCCCTTGATGCGCACTTCCACTCCGACTCTCCCCAAACACTTGTCACAAATCCCCCTGCCTTAGCCCTCGGATCTGTACCTCCGTGCTCGATAACACTGAGGTGGCAAAGCGAGAGAGAAGGTACACACAGCCCCAGCCCTGGTCACGCAGGGGAGCCTGCCGGTGCTTAATTAAAGGCCTCGCACCGTGGGCAAGGCCAAGTCTGGGGGAACTTCCCCGCGCAAAGAAGCGCTGGCCTGGCTGAGCCGCGCACGGCCGGGGCGCGCTGGCCCTTTAACGGCGCTCGCTTCCTGCGCCCCGGCCCCTCCCTCGCCGTCGCCAGCTCCCGCCCACGCCCACGCCGAGGGTCACACTTGAACTTGAGCTCGCCCCGCGCCTCCGGGCGCCGGCGCTGCGCAGGCTGTGGCCGCCCCTTCGCACGGGTCGGACGGGGTACCTCGGGCTCTGCGCGCCCGGCCCCCTGCACTCCAGCTCACTTCGGATAAAATCAAAACAAAGCAAAACGCACACCAAAACTGCGCGCCCAGCCCTAGGGGCCGGCTGGCGCCCTGCCTGTCCCCTCCACCTGCAGCCCCGTCCCCAGCGGCGAGGCTCCGATGCCCTTCGCCGCGCGCTCCCCCGCCCGGCGCGGCGGAAACGACTCCCGGCGCGGCCCACGGCCGAGGAGACGAGGGGACGCGCGCCCCGGGGACGAAGGAGCCGCCCTCACCCCGAGGTCCTGGAGGAAAAGGCGCACAGGCAGGAGTCCGCGCGGGCCGTGGGGGCGCAGCTCCCAGTGAACCCCTTTCTCCTTCCCCTGGCGAACTTTTCTGCCCGTTCTGATGTCCACTTCTTGGCGTGGTTTTTTTACTCTTAGTTCCCACATGAGCCCCTTCCCGCTCCAACTCGCACGGGAGCGAGCGTGCACACACACTTATTCCTGTCCCCCGACGGGTCCGGGCAAGCCCACCACCCAGATCGGCCACTTCTCGCCCGCTCCCTGCACGCGCTGCCCGCGTGCGCCGCTCTTTGAGATCAAGCAAACTTGCACAGCCACCCCTCGGCTGCCCCACCGCGACCTCGGCCAGAGCCAAGGGTCCCGCACGCCCCCCCGGTCTGGCCGTCCGCCCCGAGGCCACTCACCTTCCAGCCCGCCGAGCTGTTGCTGTCGCCCTTATCCTTGAAATAGGGCACGCTCTTGACCATCCACTCGTAAATCTGCGACAGCGTGAGCCGCTTCTCGGCCGAACTCTCGATGGCCTTGGTGATGAGGTCGGCATACGACAGGTTGCCCCACGCATTGCGGCGGGACGAGCTGCTCTTGCGCGCCTGCCCCGCGAGCGACCCGGCGGCGGCGGGGGGCACTGGTGGGTGCTGCGACAGCGGCCCGGGTGGCGGGGGCTG